CACGTGCGCCTGGGACGGGGCCAGCCCGGGAAAGGGACTTCCTGGCCGCCCTTCTCCCAGGGGCGGGACACCCGGGCGCAGGGCCAATGAGGAGCCCTGCGAGGGGGCAAGTCCCATGAGAGAGAGAGAGAGACAGAAGTGCAAGTGCAAGTGCCTCTGTCTCTGTCTCTCTCTCTCTTTCTCTCTCTCTCTCTCTCTCTCTCTCATGGGACTTGCCGGAGGGCCGTGGGAGGGCCGCATTTACATAGTGCAGGGAGGGCTGTTCGAGGGCCGGATTAAACCGGGCCGCGGGCCGCAAATGGCCCGCGGGCCGGACTTTGGACATGCCTGCTCTAGAGCACCTCTAAATTATAATAAAGGTACAGTTTAAAGTGCTATGCAATAAGTGTTATCTAGCACCATAATAGGGAATTTGGGAAGAAATCCAAAATAATGAAATGACAACAAATTGTCATGTGTGATGCAAACCTATCACATGCTTTAGAACAATTCTTTGTCATTTTAGTCTGAAATAACAAAAGGTGTTTGATGCTACAATTGGTCTTAAAGTTCCTGGATCATGAAATCTTGCTTTTCAATTATGTTTAATCGTTTGTAATAATAATTACTTTTCCCACGAGGCTGTTCTTTACATATCTACTCTGTGCTGGGAAGAGGGAGGGGGGAAGGGCCTCCTAAAGGTACCTCATGGATGACAAAGGTGAAGCTGATGAGAGTTGGCATTCGGGGATGAGTGGTGGCAGAATTGCTTCCAGGACCTTCTGGCTCCTTCTAAAATAAAAGGGGGAAAAAAGTAATATCTGGATTTCCCATACCTGCATCAATACAACTTTCCTTTAAGAATGGCTTCTCAAATATGAGAAATTTTATTTTTAAAATTATATATATTCATATATTAACACCTTAATTGTACACATCCAGTCCCCGCCCTCACAGAGCATTTTTTTCTTTATTTCTAACATCATCATCACCACATCCCATGTGACTCTTGGAGGCTACTTTATAAAGCATCTCTTCCCCTAAAGTCCTCATTTGCAAAAAAACAAAAAACAAAAAAACAAAAACCTTGTCTGCCTGAAACCAGAGACACGAGAATTCTTGCATTTTGACCAAGCGGTTTATATAACAGAAACAGATGAGTCATTTAATACCCACAGCCAACCACATCAATTCATTACACTATCAGGATGAACAGCGAAGATTCAGATGATGTCCTGTAGATCATTTTATTACCAAATACATTTTCACAGGTCAGAGCTCGTCATTCCATACACAACCAATGTTTCCATGTACAAATAACTGGTCCTTTGAGTTGGATAATAGAAGAATATCATAGCCACCCATTCCAATGCCTAAGATTATAACTGCTAAGAAAGAGTCTGATAAGAGACAATATAACATCAGAAATTCTAAGCTTATCATTTTGGACAAGCAACAACATCTTGAAGAATGTTATTCTACTTCTGACTAAAGCAACCCATTTTTTTTTTTATACAAAGCATCCCTTGGTTTATATTATAGCTCTACATGTTCTCGTTTATGGACTAATTTGGAAGGAATGATTAGAGAGCAGTGTGGCTACCCATCTCAAGGAAGCCTGTCAAGATTTTTATTGGCAAACAGTATTTTTAGGCAAGAGTTGAAAATTGGTTGGGTGGTGGATGGAGCAGCAGCGTGATACAAGTTCTGCCCCTTGTGATGGACCTGTTCAAAAGGGGGCAGGACATGCCTCATCTTGCTGAGCGTAACCTCTCCTGGCAGATGTTGCTGGGATCTGCTGCAGGGCTGCTCACTTCAAAGACTCCTGATTGCTTTGTCTTTAAATCAGGTGTGATTATTTTTTAAAAAAAATAAAAATAAAACATGGTTAGATACCTCCATTGTTGAGGTAGCTATTCTTATCCACTTTGTATAGTTTATATATTTGATTTTATAATATTTATTTTTTTAACATGTTTATATTTGTTGTTTTATCCACTTGCTGTACACTGCCAGAACTGCTTTTGGTTAGATGGGCTGCTATGCAAATCTGATTAATAAATAAAATAAAATAAATTGTCAACAATAAAATATCACTGAATATATGATTATCCTCCACAAGTAGCATAGATGGCCATAGTAGCCTTAACTCAATGGTGATTTCCTTGCTTGCTCCTGTTATTAGTTGATTCATTCTCACCCAAGGGTTCCAGGTGACATCCCAGCCGAGGACTTGATTGATCGCCTTGATAGAGTCCCTGTTTTGGCCAGCTGTGTGCTTTGATCCTAAAAGATAAGATTAAAAATACAAGATGAAAAATCTGCAAGAACAAGTTGGTGTAGTACATAGACATCTTCCAAAGCAATGGCTGTTTTATCTCTTGAATTGTGTTCTTTTTTTTTGGTCAGGAGCTTGCTAAGGTATCCTGAATTTCAGAAAAACATTAAAAGATTGATCCAAGTACCATACTTCACATAGTAGTGTGCCCCTGCTGCTCCAAAAAGGGAGACATTCTAAAGCCAGCAATACCCAGGTGATAGGTTTCTTTGTGGCAAATGCTAAATTTTCAGAATTTCTAGACAGAATGATATTATTGAACTGCTAGGAAGCAACTCTGTAAGGAAGTGTTAAAAGCCAAGGGGCATTTGGCACTATTAAGATGAGGTTCTTATGTTAATGGAAGGAAGAAATCCTCTAACTATTTCTTGAATTCTCATATAATGCCAAGATAAGATGGTGGCTCTTCGGACTTCGAGTTTTTCGTAGGTCCTGGTGAGCAGGAAGGTTTCCTCCCCGTAGAGATAAGAAAAGAAAAGAAGAAAAAACTTCCTCCCTCTTCCAGCACCTTAAAGCTACAGGACATGAAATTGATTTCGAAGGAACCAAACTAATCTCCAAAACTGCACACCACAACAAGAGAATAATTATGGAAGCCATCGAAATAGAAAAACACCCCCACAACATGAATAAATGTCTACCAGATATCTGGAAACTAACCCTAATCAACAAACAGGTCCTAGCCACGAAAACTGACACCGGACCCAGAACAACACAGTACGCCACCACCATTCACCCTCACCAGACCCAAACACATCCCTCAGACGAAATGCAACCACCAGCCAGAAGCCAAACCACGACGACATCACCAGCTGCTGCACCTCCCTCCGACCCCCACACAAAGCAAATGGACACACGCCATGAACACAGAGCTAGACCGCAAACTTGGAGCCAAACCAAAGCCCGGTATGCTACATCACAGCCTTCTGCTCTGGACATCACATCACAGAACTCAGGAGGTTACAGCTCCGATCACACTTTGCTCACACAAGCTGAAGACCCCAGCCTGAAGATGACGAGAGGGACCTTGTCGAAACATCGCCAAGATACTCTCAATCTTACACGGGAAAAGACCCGAATATGCCAAGACCAGCATATAGCCATTTCAAACTTTTTAGTTCTTTTCAACCAGACATACCCTTCTGAGATTCGAACCTGGGCTGTCTGCATGTTAAGCAGATGTACAGTATATATATATATACTGTACAACAAAGCCCCCACCCAAACAGAACACTCCCCCATCCAATCAGAACACAGCCAACCCCCCATCCAATCAGAGCACAGCCAAGCTCCTTAACCAATCAGAACACACCTCCACCCAATCAGAACACAGCCAAGCTCCCACCCAATCAGCTCAAACCCCACTGGCAGTTAAAAGGAAGAAACAGCAGCGATCACACACAC